GATATAGTGTCATATAAATCGTAAAGCATTTAGTTAATATAGTTGGGTCCATCCAAATAAACCTATTCTCATTTCTCAGCTTTTATTATAGGTCGGTCATCATTTCCAGCTATCGACCACTTCTAATCCTCGGAATAAATGTATCATAATTGTATCGAGGCTACAAAAGATCGAAAAGTATAAAAAGCTAGCAAAAACAGAATCACAACAGTTGGGTAAGAAGAATATCTAGCTTCATAATTATTACGAGACAATGGAACTAGTTAAACTGATAGTAGCACAGGATACCACATAATGCTAAGAGATACTCAGTTAGGCTCTGTTGGATAATGATGAATCTCCAAAGGGATGTACTAAACGAAGCCTAAATGCCAAAAGGCTTAAGCCCAAAGTTTAGTTTTGTCATTTTGATTAAATCGAAATCCGAGGGAATGGCACTAACTGCTATCAAATTGAATGGTTGTAGTGCAGAACGAAGGCTATTTTTCAGAAAACTCAGTGTCTCGAAAAAAAAGTAAATGAAAGAAAGGACGTAAAAGATCAAGCATTCAAGCAACAACCCAGACCTGTAGCTTGTAATTCTGGATCAAGTGGATATGTTTTAAATTCGTAGCCCCAACCAAAAATGACCTTTAGATGTAAGCTTCCCATCGCGGTGGTAGTTGGCAGGATCGACATACACAAAGGCCAAGGGTTGCGATTTGAGGTGTTAGCTTAACGACTAACGTGGGCATCAGCCAACTCCAGAGGAACAATGCAATAAACGAGACAAATATTGAAAAACCTCAAATTCTGTAGTGTCTTAGCAATATGAGCCTAGCATAAAGTAGACTAAGAGAGTTTTTGTGGCGAATCATTTATTTATTAACACCTCATTAACTGATATTCTTTGCAGCAACGGATATTTGGTGATGTACACAAAAAATACGATTTCACTCAGAAAATATCTTAACACAAATCATTGAAGACAATCGGTAACAATTTTGTTTCGAAACAATTGGTAGGCAGATAGTTTTAAGGTAAATAAGTATAGATTTTCTCGTTATTACACCAATAGACAGCCATCCTAGCGTGCATTTTTGAAAATTCCTACTTTTAATAAATTTTACTGTCACACACCCACAAAAGACCATATTCATCCAGAGGAGATGGCATCGCGACCTAAAGCTCATCAGCATTAAGCACATAATTCATTAGCACCTCGAGGTTAGTGGCAAAAACACTGTTCATTGTCGACAAGGAACTCCCCACAAAACAGAGGCTTGCTTTGCGTTAAGAGTTAAGTCTGTCGTTTAGCTATGTGACCTCTTAATTCAACATGTTCATTGCTCGGATCTCACTTTGAAGTGCTAAAGAGGACGAGGCGAGGTCAAAAGTACAGTTCGCTCTGGATTACAAGGTCTGTATTGCTGAAGTATTGCAAAGCTAAATTTTACGCGAAAATTAAACTTTCCCATAAATTCCTCGTAAGCAGTGCAATAATAGACGTCAAACATCAGCCATAAAATACAAAAGGTCAATACACCCAAAAGATCTGAGTGTGTTTCGCATCTGGAACATAAGCCAAATTGACGTTTTTTAGTTACAAGCCTATTCTTCCAAGGCTGGACTCCGGGGAGCGTTGTAATAACTGTCAACTTTATACCAAATTTAACTTGGTGATTTTGCATATTAAAACGAACCCGCGCAACTTTATTTCTATATAAAATGTATTCACCCTATTTCGTTTAAGGTGATGAAGGACTAGTAGTAGAATTTTCCCACAATGATATAAGTTAAGCTGACGTTTTCCATTGAATTCCACATAGCCTCGCTTTCCCAAAAGTTGTTCTCATCCAGAGCGGTCTGTAGTTTCGACCTCGCATCGGTTTTATCAACGCCCTCAGCGGGAGTCGAAATGCGACAGTGCAGGATGGGAGATTGACACGCTAACCACTCGGCTACACTGCCACGAGTACCCTTGAGTCACAGAGCATAAGTTTATTTTAAGGAATGTCAGGCCCTTTTGCTATATCATTTTCTTTGGTGGAAGAGTCGATGAAGCAAACGTATATGTGCTATAGCAATCGACTACCTTACTTATTTTCGTATTGGAGTGGAGTTTCTAGACTACCAGTAAATCAGTAATATGAGATGTATTCACCATATTTCGTCTATATCTTGATATTCTGTTTTTTTTCTTATATGCCTCGAGATTAAAAAAACAAAACAAAACTAGTATGTCACGACAAAAAATGATCTAAATACACAGTGTAAAAAACATCAATTAAATCAGAAAAATTGCATACGTTTTATGATAAATAAAAATTATATATAAAATTTTCTATTTTTATTATACTTTTATGAATCAACGGCGCTAAGTAGGCTTTTTACACTAACTTCATAGCCCATCACTGACGAATCAATCTTTTTTTTTATACTCGTACATTGAATAGGAGTTCCAGTCACAGGTCGCAGGCGATAAGTTTAATTTTCCCACAAAGATTCCCGCTTGGGTGCTGATAAAACCTATGTGAGGTTGAAACTTACGTCCACACTAGCTAAGAATGCTTTTTAGGAAATAAAGCCAAGTGAAATATTGTAGAAAAATGAAGCCTACTTATATCCTTTTGGGGAAATTAAAGAGGCCTTCACCACTTCATGCGACTCTTATTCACTTAGAGTGACTAGGAGTTTTGAAATTCACTTTTTACGAATATAAGTAACGTAGACTATTGTAATTGTAAAACCCAAGTTTGCCTCATCAATATTCCCATTATATAAATAAGATATGGGAGAGGCCTTAAAATTTGCGTCTGCCCCGTGAGCCAGGAGCACTCATGGCAGTATGGCGTGATGGTAACGTGTCAATATTACATGGTGCATTATCATGGTTCGATTTCCGCTGGGGATGCTGGTGAGATCTAGACAAAGTCGGTAAAGCAATCCAACTTGGATAAGAATACATATTAGAAAGTAAGGCTAGGTGAAATTCAATGGAAACGTCAACTATATTCATATCAGTTGGAAAATTAAACTATCAGTCTTGATCACCCTGTGCAACATAAAGAGTGACTGGGACCCTTACTGAAATTTTTAAACCACAGAAGAGTAAAGGTCTTCTATGGCTTATGGCAAGCTGGTCACTAATGCGTAATATGGATTTTAACCCAGAATCATGTTATTAATAAAACAATGCTAAAGATACGAGGCCAACCAACCAACCAAAATATGGGTTAAAAAAAAGATGAGCACTAACAACAGGGACGCCATGTCTGGCCCACTGTTTTGTCCAAGGTTGTGATGCCGTTCCTGTTTGCAAGAGACTAATTGCTCCAAAGTAGCGTGCAAGACTGGGCGCCAATTGACCTCTGGGCCTGGCCACAAAAAGGCGATGATCCTTCTTAATGGAGCTGTACATCGCCAGTGACGACGTAAAACCATCGATTGTGGCAACTCCCTCGCGAAAATCACCTTCCGATGCAACGACGAAGTCACTCGCATTATTGTTGGTAGTGGTCAGACGGCGGAGAGGAAGGGGAGTGACGGAAGTCATGGCAGCTGATACGGCAGATGATCTTGCTGCAGTCTCAAGACGCTTTCGTTCTAGCCGAATCGGCAGGCTGAGGCGGAGCAGCGGCGCTAGCTGCGTGAGAAAGCGCAAACTACCTCTGTAGGCCGATGGTCCAAGAGAAGGAAGAACTTTTTGATACGATACCGGTATAGCTGCGGAAGCATTGTCAGCCGTTCCTGTGCTTTCAGCCTCGATGGAAGGGCCGAGATCCAGATAATTTTGTCTATAATGGCGACGGTGATGCCGATGAGGATGAATTCTTTGGGGCTCCTTCCTAGAGCCCATGTTGTAGGAGCTCGGGGAAGAGGTGGTCTGCTGATTTACCGAGCATCGATGTCTTGGAAACTTTGGGTGGAAATTATCTGCAAGAGCAGCAGCATGTGATCAACTTTGGATGCAAATAGAGCTAATAAGCAATATGCTTTATTAACAAACTTTTTTAAACATTGCATGTAGTGCTAGTTGCAAAAGGGTTGCTCTAGGGCCTAATAAACTAGCTTTCAATGATAAAACAAGAGGTAAATATAATTGTGCTACAAAAGTTCTTTTCGCTTTGTACCTATAGTCTCAAAAGCTCCATTAAAATTAATTTAAGAGTCGACGTTCCGCAAAAATTGGAAACAGGATATTCATAAATTCATATTCGTAGGGAAGATGGGTATTCAAAAATCAAACATGGCCTTAATAAAAAAATGTTCTTGGAAGATGCTCCTAATAGTTACATGTCATGTGATCTGTAGTGGCTTTACCATGACCCAAATGAAAATATCCCTCGACTTATTATTGTCGATTAAAGCAAATTATCGTTAAAGCCCCAGTCCTTGGCTTTAGGGAGATCATTCTCATTTTTCATCTATGATGCAATGGACATCGTCAAAATAGGAAGCCTTTTTGAAAAAAGTAATGCTCCACTCTGTTTCATTATAATTAAACTAATTAAACCAAAATGGCTAAACAAGTTAACCACATGTTTAGTTTATTAATGCATTCGTGAATTTTGTACTGTTAATCGCCCAGATGTATAAATAGAGCTAGTAGCTGAGAAAATAACTCATGATTTGGCTAAAAATTAGCATGAATAAGAACAGATGCAATTTGCTTAATTTTATCAGAGTTCAAGTATACATTGGCGATTCCTCTATGATGACCTTGGTCCAGAAGATTTAAGCTACAAACCAAATAAAATGGTTTTATGAAGGGAATCTATCTTAAAACTAATTTAAGAAGCAACAATACATGTAAATAGATGAGGCATGAAGTTTTCAAATGAAGATAAGTAATATAATGTAGCCTAGGGCACAAAGTGATAAACCTGTATTAAGAATAAGCCTGAAGCAAATGATTACAATTTCTGTTGTCTAGAGGCAGGAACTTTGCAAAGCAAATGTCGCTAGAACTAACAAGTCTTGAGGATCGGTTTCCAGATGATATTAAGAGAATGAGTCATAGATAAAACCTCGAATCGACAGCCATATGGAAGGACCATTTAGAATTATGAAGATTAAAAGTATTCTAACAAGCAGGAATGATCAAATAGTGATCTAGGCCGGCATAAATTGGGTAATAGTAGTGGCAGATATGTTAAGGTATGCATATAAAATGTCACAAGTTCTATATATTGCTGAAATTTATAGGATTGTGGCTAAGGATCCCTTAGAGACCCTATGGGCTAGATAATCTAAAGTTATCTGCTAAGATGAATAATAAATTGATACTGGAGCGGAAACAAATTAATGTACCACCTTCTAGTTCTTTTACTGCTTATAGCCTGTTGGCTAATGATAAAAAATGGATCATACTGGGAATATCGTGAACAATAAGTATGTGATGCAAAGGATATCAAGATTTGTTGTTGAGGCGACCTTCATGAAAGTGCATGGGGAAGAGATTCCCAGGCTGATCTAACCAGAAGACGACGGCTGATTCCCGTTGTACTATAGCCGTTTGGCTTTAATATGTCGTCGAGATTGACGCAGTCCAAAAGGCATCCTCCCTCGTTTCGGATAAAAACGGACTGAGCTTTCGTCCATCATCCCATTTTCATCCGAAATGAGGATGGATGTCTTATGGACTACGTCAGCCTGAGCATCCTATTAAAGCCAAACGGCTATAGTACAACGGGAATCAGCTGTCGCCTTCTGGTGAGATCAACCTACTAGCTTCTTCTTCATGCACTCTTATACGAAATGAAGGCCTCCCAAACAATGTTATGTCAGGAGATTCATCGAAACCCAATTATTCTTCGTATCTACATATACAGATTTCCTTAAGAGCAAGTAAATAAAATTTTTGAATTCTGGAAATTTTGAATCACAAGCTCATATAACTATTTAAGGTCAATTAACGAACAAATATATGTACTTGCTTTAATTTTAATTGTAATTCATTGTAGGTTAAATTCAGGTAAAAGAGGCAATAAAGGCTATAGAGACAAAACTTGATCAGGACTTTAAAAACATTTATGATAAAAATCTAAACGAAGTCAAGCACGAAGTAATTAAGGACAACAAATGTTCCATTTCAACGGCAAATTATATAATCAAGCTCGAGAACTAGCAATAGGATAGTGCTAGACACATATTTTAGCAAACAACCGAAAGGCCAAAAAAGAAGTTCACAATTCTCAAAAAGCCTTAGAGACTAACAAATTTGGTAAAATAAATATATGAATACCAAGATAGTGTGGTCTTCTATTCGCTAGCAGTTCGTTTGATCTCGTTTTCGCAACATGGTCGGAGCATTAGGGATATCTGGTGGAAAATTTGCCAAGGGGATTACCTTCACTTGCCACTGATAAGTTGTAACTCTGTACTAACGATGGCACATCTTACTGATGCTCCGATTAAATTGCGAAAACGAGTTGAAACCAAACTTAATTTTAGTTATTTGGTAATACGTTTTCGAGAGTACTAGTAAATCTTGTATAGGAATTGTGCTGACGTTATTTCGTTTAAGATGATAAGGGACTGGTAGTGGAATTTTCCCACAAAGATACAAGTAGGCCTCATGTATTCTCTGAATTTCCTAAAGCCTTGCATCCAAAAAGGTACTTTCATCCAGAGTGGAGTACAGTTTCGACTTCATCCAAGTCTCATCAGCACCGGGGAGTTTAGCGTATAGTCTTGACAGAGTAATCGCCACGTCACGCTGCCAAAAATGTGCTTGCGTTACAGGAAAGACTTGAATTTTAAGGAAGGCCAAGCCTTTACCATACCAAACTCTGTGATGTAATCGTCGATGAAGCACGGTTGTATCTGCTATTACAATTGACTACATTGCCTATGGTCGTTTTTCAATGTATAATTTCGAAACTAATGATAGATCTTGAAAAAGATCTATGTTAAACTTCATCTCTCAAATAAAATAGGTTGAGCAAGGATCTTCTTTAAAAGCTACAGCACTTCTCGAAAATCTAATCTAAAATACAAAAGTAAGTAATCTAATCTATTGTAATGGCAAATACAACTTTGCTGCAGCTATGATCCCACCACAGAAAATGATAGAGGAAAGACCTGATCTTCCTAGAAATTTCCGTCTGCCCTTTAACTCAGGGGCAGTAGTGGCAATCTGGCGTAGTGTTTACAGTGCCGAGTCTATACGCTGCACTAGCCTGGTTCGAATTACGCTTAGAATACCTATGGGACTTAGATGAGGCCGAAACTGCGGTCCAATCTGAATGAGAATACCTTTTGGAAAACAAAGCAAAGTGAAATTCGATGAAACTGTGAGACTTATTCATTTTATTCGCGCAAAATAGTTAAGCTAATGGAATAAAACTGTAAGTGTTGATTAAGAGTTCATGGAGAAAAAAGAAAATATCGTAAATAACACTATCAATATGCCAGATGAGTGACCAAGTTTGGCTAATACAAAAAGTAATATTTATCGTTAATTGAAATTCTAACGTATAGTGAACTCAGAAAAGGACAAGCAAACTCATTATATTCTCTAGCAAATATCATCAAGCTAGGCTTCAAAAAATCTCCACAATAATCAAAAACTAACTTGATTCAGAGTTAAAAGGTTGATACGATTCTTGCTGATAAAAACATAAGGGTCTGAATTATTAACTTCCAAAAGAGGGTAACAACCTTTGGAGTAATTGGAAAAATATTGTTAATTGAGCGACAGTGGATAGTCATTTGGACTCAACTAAGGCCGTCTCATAAAGTGATATTTTCGGTAATAACTTAATAACACAATTGATTTATCTGAATGAAAATTGGGTCTTGAAAAAGACCTTAATTATTTAATATCACTTGACCTCCATTTTGCATGAATCATTTGATGGTAGGGATTCATAAATCAATCACAACGGAAAATAAATGAATATTGTCTTAGAGTTTTTAGTATTTGTGTGAGGAAAGTCTCTCTCCTATTTCGATGAATTCATACCAAGCTTTCGCATATCATGTAAAAGATATAGTCTGAGTGAAAGCAGAATTCAACCAAAATTCATCAAAGATGGTTTCCGGCTGCAACTAAACCTTATTTTATCCATCCTATCCTTTTATCTTAATGAGTTATCCCATAAGTTAATTGGCTACTTTACGTTTTCATTCACATCCTTGGGAAGAAGTGAAGATTATGATAATTTTGTCTAACATCCAATTGTTTTCAAGACTACCAGTAGATCATATATATAAGATCTACCAAAAATAATTAATGTGGCCGATTTCCATAGCAAATACAACTATGCCTCATCGAAAATCCCACCACAGGAGGTGGTATGGGAAAATGCCTGGCCTTCCTTTAAATTCTGTGACCCTGTGACCCAAGGGCACTCGTGGTAATATTTCATTATTACCATTATTAGAATCCAGCTGGAGTGTTGATAAGAACTAGGCCAGGTCGAAATTGAGGTCCACTCTGGATTATAATATCTTTTAGGAAAGCAAGACTGTGAAATTCAATGGAACCGTCATGTCTACTCATATAATTGTGGAAAAATTCAACTATCCATCCCCCAATCACCCTAAATGAAATAGGATGAATAAATCTCATATATAGATCTACTGGTAGTCTCAAATGCCTAGTCATAAACGGAAAAAAGGCAGAAATTCTACAAGCATGTCTTCAATTCGGGAAATTGATAGTTTTGTTAATTTCTGTTGACTCCATAGTCTTCAGCTAAACTAAAAAGTTTCCATACCCACAAAGATGTCAAGGTAGTCGGCCACCTTACCTGGTATCCTGAATCAACCAAATGCTTAGCTAGCTTAGTGTACTTGAGTCAAAAGCTTGTGCAGATGTTTTGCATTTACACAAATAATTATGTGTAGATC